GTTTTATTTGGAGAAATGGCAACTTTTATTCTGTCTTTAATTAAAACTACATTTCAGGGCTTGTGGAACATTTTCTCAGAATTATTCTACCGCACAATGTGGTTATCATCTGTGGCTTGTTGCTATGAATATGTTACTATTGCGACAGCTTTCAGTGTGATAGCTTTAACATTAGACTATAATTTATTCTAATACAGTTAAAGAGTTAAGTTTAAAATCCATGATGGTAATGTGAAACAACAAATGCCTATTGGGGTATATTTATTTTCCAGCCATTTAGATTTATCAGACAACTGTTTTTTACCGTCTCTAAATTGTTATGTGTGGGCACTTTAAAAATATATTTTATACATTACTGCTCACTGAGTAGTGGTAACTGTCTTTAGTCATACTGAAAATAAGAAGGTAGTAATATAATTTTTGAAAACAAACTTGTTTTCCTTTCAGTCATTCTTTTCTTGAAAATCAGCTAATGTTCAAGTTGAAGCCTGCCAGCAGCTCACTTCTTACTGTGTGGACTGTTATTTTAGAAGCTGTGAACAGAACTTCCACCCCAAACTTTGAATTGAAGTTGAACCTTTTCGATTCTAAATATCTGAAGAGACAGCCTTCCCTTGACCTCTTTCATTCTGGGATATTAGCAGCTTAACAATTTCTGTTAGACGTGCAGTTGTTCTGCAAGTTAGCACCTGCTTGTTACTCTGGTTGGAAGTAAAGCAAAATATGATGGATCCCATCTGTCTATGTACAGACTGGAAGGGGAAGAAACAACGACCAGTTAGGATAGAAAAATCAGCATTGCGGGCCGGCCNGAGAATGCTCTCAAATTCAGAATGAATGGGATGTGGCACCTGCTACATCAAACAAAGATAAACACAGGCAGAGGTCACTTTCCAACTTTTATAGAGATGATCTTTATCAACATCACCTGCTTATCCTGCTGTGTAGACAAGGGTTTACGTCCAGAGACATCTATATTGTGGGAATATATTCCAAGTATTTTTTTAAGGTTGTTTGTTCCTTTGTTCCCATGGACAGATATCAGTATTACCTGCAAGTCAAAAAAGACGTGCTTGAGGGGCGATTACGGTGTACGTTGGAACAGGTGATTCGGCTAGCCGGCTTAGCTGTGCAAGGTAAGATAGAGTTATGACCAGCATGTGCAATTCTGTTTCCCATTTGATTATGGGGTTACTGGCCTCTCAGACTGAAAAGTTAAATGTACTTAAATGATCCCTTAGTAATGCTCTTTTTTCATTTCAAGATATTTTACATTAAAAATGCAAAGTTCATGGTTTTTGGTGACAGGATGGTGGATTTCTCAAAGCTATTTGCAAACTGCTCATGCTTGTATAATCACAGTTTTATTTGGAGAAATGGCAACTTTTATTCTGTCTTTAATTAAAACTACATTTCAGGGCTGTGGAACATTTTCTCAGAATTATTCTACCGCACAATGTGGTTATCATCTGTGGCTTGTTGCTATGAATATGTTACTATTGCAACAGCTTTCAGTGTGATAGCTTTAACATTAGACTATAATTTATTCTAATACAGTTAAAGAG